CTACGTTTTCAAAGCTGGTCCTCTTTCTCTTACCTAAAACTCTTAAATTCTGTGCAGTAGTTCTTTTTATCTCCTTTGCTAATTATAGTATTTACTATTTTGTTTCCAACTATAAAAGGAGAGCTTACTCATTATAGAAAATTTAGAAAAATATAAAAAAAATTAAAATTAAAATCACTCATAATCCCATGTCTCAGAACTCATACTCACTTTTTTAGGTGTATTGGTATAGAAGGTATTTAAATACAATAAGCATCTTTTCCTTGGGTTAATGGTTCTGCTGGATGGAAGAGTAAATTTTTTTTATCTAGGGGACCTTTGCCAACCTCCTTTAGTCTGAGTTTCTTCTGAGCCCTCATGATATCTTGTACCTTCCCTCTTTAAGCTTTTATCACATTATCCAACATAGACCTTCAGCAGACCGTGAATTTGTTGAAGGTTTGCACTGTCTTACCTTTGTCTTCAGAGCCCACTATCGTGTTTCAGTGGATATTTGTTGAATGCATGAGTGACTGAGAAAGATTCTCTATCTCTATGGTGACCCTTTCCTTGTGCTCTAATTATGCCTCCATTTCCCCACTTCTGTATTGTGGAACACATAAATTGCCATGCAGCAAACTGTATGATATGATCTTTGTTTATAGCTAGTTGCTTTTTAACAGTTAGATGTTAAGTCTTTGGAATATTGCTTGCCTTGATGTGTGATGAATACTTTTAATTCTTTGGTCACCTTATTTTTTTTCATAAGTTAATTACTTTCTATTATGTTGATGGATTGTTTTATGTTTTAGATGATTCCCGCTAAATATTGCAACACAGGGACTATTAGATAGAGCTAACTGCCACCACCTTGTGTTTTTTTCAGAAGAGGCTCCTTATTAAAAAATATATAATTTCAGGATTTGTGCAAGGCACTTTTCCCCGTCATCAGTGCCTCAAGATGGAATTAGAGGATTAAAAAGATAAAGTGCTTCATTCATTTAATAAGTATCTGCCATATTTATTCTCACAGTTTTCCCCACACTTTCTATTTCACTATGAAATAAAGAGGGTAAAGGGATTCACATAACTATCAGCTTTAATTTCCTAAACAATGGTGAGTCCCTGCAGTCAGCTGACAATGGCAAAGTTCCCTGGAGTCTCAATCTTAATGGTTCTCCTTGGGCAGCTCCTCAGAGCCAGCTCCTTCCGTAGGAGACTGCTTTAGGCAGTGCTTCTGGTGTGTTTGTGAGAAGGAGGGGGAGATGATTTTCAAGCCTTAGTGTGAATTGATCACATTTAGAATAACTTCAGTGAAAGAAACTGTTGATGTTTAAAGTAGAGGCTTTGCAGTCAGACAGATTTGAATTTGAGTCCCAGCTCTTTGCGTTGGTTATGGGATCTTGAGCAGATGACTGTTGCCTTATAAGCCTTAGTTTTCTCATCTGTATTGTGAGGTGATGATAGCACCCTACCTCATATAGTGATTGTGAGAATTAAATGAGATAGTTTAGGCAAACATTTGGCAGAGTTTTTCTAACAGTTAGCACTAAATGAATGCTAACTTTTGTTATAATAATTAGCATTATTGTTAGGGCTCTTACAGCATCCATCTTTGGCCTCATGTGACCTTGCAATAGACTGTAATAGCAGTGAGTCTGATTTTAAAACTTAAAAGGCCCTTTCTAGCATACTGCTCTGCATTTCTAAAGCACTTTGTAGTTTGTGAAGCACGTCCATATTTGTCATGCCATTGAATCTTTGTATTTTGAGATGCTGTGCTTTCTATAGTCTCCAGTTATTTAGAAGGAGGAGGAGGAATAAACCGAAATAAGAAGGGGGAGCAATGACATGTGACTGGGGGAGGGTCCTGAAAATGAGGTTGAAAAGAGAGTGATAAGAGGCCCATAAACCCACTCCAGAAAGATTGCCACTGATTTGATTTTAACCCTTTGACTGCTTGACAAGATCAAAACACTTGATGTTTAGAGACATCTTTGCGAGTCCTTGGCATTATTATTTCCAAGCTGAAGAACATACATGGGTTTGGATGTGTTCTTCAGAGAGACAGTGTTATGCAGGAGAATTACTTTTATATTATTTGCTTTATAACATAGAGATAATATTCAGATTAAAAAAATCAGTGAATCTAACATTAGATGCTGGATTATATGAGAAGTGGAATTTCTCTAAAAATGTTTTTTTAACTGATTTTTATGTATTTTCTTACCCTAGTTCTGGTTTTTTTTTTCACCTTAGAATGGTAGAATTGTAGTGTTAAAGATGGAACCACTTGATTGCTCAAGTCCCTCTACCTCTATCTACTACCAGGAAACAGACCCATAGAGGAAGGGCAAGTGGAATGGATAGAAGAAACCTCATTTATTGAGTTCCTACCATGTGTCCTGGTAGGCATTTGAGTCATTCACACATTCATTCTGCAGCTCAACAGATTTTTTTGGAGAGTCTTCTGTGCACCAGGCACAGTGCTAGCCATTGTGTATAGAGCAGCAGACAAAGCAGACATTATTGTAGCTGCCCTCATGGAAGCTCAGAGGCTGGTGGGGAAGGCAGACACTGAAGATGCACATACGTAAATATATAATATCAAATTAAGTGCTGTGAAGGAAATGAACAGGATATATGTGAGAGAGTACCTGTGGAAGGGTCTTCTTTCCATAGGATTATCAGTGAAAATTTCTGAGGTGGTGTCATATGAGCTGAGCCTTGAACAACAGTAATAATAATCTTAACAAGGGTTTTCCGATTGATAGGGTATCCCATCATTATCATTTTACCTGTGAGGGAATGGAAGAACAGAGAGATTAAGTAACCTGCCCAAGGCCGCACGTTAGAAGATGCAAAGATCATGAGAAAGAGCCTTCAAGATATGGTGACTAGCCCTTGCTATGGCCTTAAAAGTGGAAGAGACAAGCAAGGTACACAGACAGTCAGGGCACTTCTAGAGGCCGGTGCAGCTAAAGCATGATTAGCAGACAGGGGAGTGGCAGTAGATGATGTTGGAGAGGTAGGCAAGGGTCAGACCACGCAGTACTTTGTTGAGTACTGTGTAGAATTTGGATTTTATTCAAAGTATCATGGGAACAACTCAGTGAAGGAATTTAAACAGGGGTGTAATATGATCAAATTTGATGCTTCGGTTTGGTATCCACAGATTCAGCCAACCATGGATTGTGTAGGACTATAGTCCTTATTCAGTGAAAAAAGTCTGTGTAAGTGGACCCACACAGTTCACACCTGTTCTGTTCAAGGGTCCACCGTATCTTTCATCTGTTGGCAGTGCATGAGGGAAGGACAGGAGCTGAAGGTCGGCAGGGTGGGAAGTGTCCATGGGAAGTTTGAGGAGAGAAGCAGGTGTGCCGTAGTGGTCTTGGGTGGGGTGCAGATTGGATCATAAGATAGAATAGGCTTGCTATACAATGTTGAGTGTCTGTCTGAGGTTTTTATCATCGTGAATTTAAAGTAAAATCAATCTGTATAGTTATGTGATTTTTCCCCAGTGATGTTTAGCTGGGGATTGCAGAGGGTTGGTTCATAGAGGATTGGTATCCTGCCCATTGTGTCCAGTGGAGAAAGAGAGTATTAAAACTGTATTTGCAAAGGAATAATTATAATGACAGATCATGTAATCTGGTGGGTGTTGTTGGAAAATAAGGGTGACTGATAGATAATTAAAAGGGGGTGAGTCAGGAGATTGTAGGTGGAATAATTTGAGGGACAACTTGAACAGATGAGGTAGAAGTATATCAAAGTATATTCAGTGAATAGATGTTGTAGTTTGAAGTTTGGAGTTGGTACAGATCTCTGATGTACCCACTGCAATGAGTGATTTGAGGCGAAGTAGATGAAAAGGCATTGGGGATGACATGGTCTAGGGTTTGAGACACTTGGGTTTGGACAGATTGTTCTTTTAGATGAAACTGCTAAGAATGATGACGGGAGTTGGTGTGGGAAGGAAGACCATGAGTTAAGAGTTCAAGCCTTCGGCAAGGAGGGAAAATGACCAAAGGTTGGTGGGTAACGGAAACAAAAAAGGAGGGTTCGGAGAAGATGGTGTATTTGGATGGCTTGTGTCTCAAAGGAACAAGGATTTTTGTCAAAAAGGAAAAGTAATAGTTTGGAAGTAGCAAGGACAAGAATACCTACTCTACCTTCTGGCCTTAAGGATTTGGGGATCAAAAAGAGCAAAGAAAAACAGTCTTCGGGACAGCAGAAGAAGTAGTATCCTTACTACCAGCAGGTTTCAATTAAGGCAAAGAGGTGGAGGGAATGTTCCTGAAAAAGAGGTTCCTAAAAAATGTTTGCTGATTAGTGCAGGCGTTCTAGAAGGGAGCGGAAGGTTTGGGAGGGAGGAGAGGTAGGAGTGGGGGAGGGGTGTGGTGTGGGCATCAGTGTGGTTAGGGCAATAATAAGACCAGGGACCCTTGAACTTCGGTTCAGATGACAAGTAAACAGTTGCACTGTGTAATGGAATTAGTCCCCCAGCCCCCCGCCCCTGCCATAGTCTCTGAGACTACAAGCCCTTGATTCCAGTGCTGCTAAATGCTTCCTCAGAGAGTGTGGCAGCTTCCCATGCAGCTTATCCTGAGGTCTCAAGGAGTAATGTGGCAATTTTCAGGGAGGGCAGCTGGTGCCAAGGACTAATGGTGACTTGTCCAAGGTCACACAGAATAAATAGCAAAGCAAGTCTCCTAACACCAAACACCAAGTCTGCTCACCACTCTAATTTGTTCATTTTAGTTGTAGTGTTCATTTACCCTACTGCTGGTAGAGCTGGATCCATTAGACCATTAGAAAATGAAAATTAAAGGGGAAAAAACCCCTAAAAACTAGCCAGTATTTTGCTTTGGGACCATCCCAGGCTCAGAAGCAGGTCTGTACAGAAAAGATGAGAAATGACTGTGTTTCACACAGGCCCTGGAGAGCAGTCGTTTTCGCCCTGCAGGGTCTGTATGACCATAACTGTGTGCTTTACCCTCATGCATGTGCTCTGTCCACAGGGTCATGTAGGCACAACAGCAACCAAGAAGATCGATGTCTACCTCCCCCTGCACTCAAGCCAGGACAGACTGCTGCCAATGACGGTGGTGACAATGGCCAGCGCCAGGGTGCAGGATCTGATTGGGCTCATCTGTTGGCAGTACACAAGCGAAGGACGGGAGCCGAAGCTCAAGTAATCCTCCCTCTTTTTGGCTGCTCTAGTTTCTGGTTGTCTCCTGGCCACCCGTGCTGCATTCTGGGCCTAGTCAGTCTCTCTAGGCATTGGCCTGGGAACCAGACGTCTGCACTGATCCAGGTCAGGTCGCTCCCCAGATCTTGGGCCTGTGTGTCTCAGCCTTACCTCAGAGAAATCTGCCTGCAAAATAGACTGATAAGTTTGTGAACCCCTTTTATGGTGCTTGCTGATAAAAGAGGCATGGGAGGTAGTGGGGGGGAACTAATGTTTGTTGAGCACCTACCAAGAGTTGGGTGCAATGTTGGGCACTTCACACCTGATTTCGCACTTAATTCTCCCACTCCCGGTGAGGGGGCATTATGATCCTCATTTTGCAGAGAAGGAAGCTTAGTATCAGAGAGTTGTTATTTGCTGAAGTTTATACTAGTGGAAGATGACAGAGTCAGAATTTGATTCCTGGTCTATTTTATCTGTTTACCTTAGACAATAAGCCAAGACATTTGCATTATTTCCTTTTGGTCTGATTTACAGTTTTGTTTGTTGTCAGTTAGTGGCTCAAGTTTTCTCTCAGTCACTAGGCTCTATTCCTCATTAAACAATTATATTAAAAATATAGTGCTTGAAAGTAGAGTCTCAGCATGTACATCATAACTTGAACTTTAAAGTGCTTTGCTGTATTGGTTTTCCCACACTTAAATTCCTTATCTGACAGGCATCCGTTCCCAGTTTTATGTGCTCTTCCCAGCATTAGGGTTTGGGATACAGCAAAATGTAGTGGATGCCTTCATTTTGGAAATGTATTCTCATGGAGACGTTCTCTTCTCACATTTTCAGGGTTAGAATGGTCCAGTCTGCTATCGGGTTTGTTTGTTTGTTTGTTTTGTCCTTTAGGTGCATTAAATTTGCACTTTATTCTCAAGTTCTCATTGGCATTGCCCTCCACTTTGCCTCAATAAATTGTGCATATAAAGATAATCCTTATTGCTCCCATGGCAATAGAAAGCCTTCTCAACCAAGATACCACCTAGGTTCAGAAAAGGGTCAAGCCTGCATCTATGCTCAAGGCTGAGCTATGGTGTTTTCCCTTTTCAGTATGACATAGAAGCAGGAAAGAGAGTCACAGTGCTAGTGACTTTACATATGTTGTCTGAGTTAATCTTTAAAACATTGCTTATTGTAGGAACTGAAATCAGGAGAGGGAGAGGAACTCGTCCAGAGTTACACAAAGAGTAGGCAATAGAGACAGGAGTTCAGCTGTGTCTTGCATTTACAGATGAGGAAGCTAAAGCATAGAGAGGCTAAGTAGCTTTCTTAAATCACACAGTAGGTGATAGAACTGGTATTTAAACTGAGGAATTTCTGACTCGAGAATCCCACTCTTCACTATTATATAGTATTCTCTACCATGGAACTCTATTATAGGTGATACTAAAATGTTTATTAAGACTGTACTTAGTGCAGGCACTTTGCTAAATCTGGAAATACAGAAGTGAAAAAGGTACTGATGCCCTTAAGGAGCTTATTGTCTAAGGTAAATAGGCAATAATAATACAGTGCAATAGCATGTAAAATCATGAGAAAAATCTGACCCTGTATTTGGTAGTGAGAGTGGAATCATGGAAAGCAACCTTAAGTGACACCTGAACTGAAAACTAGAGTGGGGAGAATATAGCTCAGTGGTAGAGCATGTGCTTAGCATGTGCAAGATCCTGGGTTCAATCCTTAGTACCTCCATGTAAATAAATAAATACCTAATTATCCCTGCCAAAATTTTTTTTAAATAATGAAGTAAAAAGGTGAGTAAATAAATAAACAGAAAACTGGAGAGGAGGAGAAGGAGGAGGAGGAGGGAAAGGTAATGTAGAAAGGTTGAGAGGAGGGTGCTCTAAACAGAGGGAAAAGCGTGGATTTCTGGTTATGATGGCCTTTTAAATTCATGCTTTAAATTCTATATTCTGCTCCAAATACCTAGTAGTGATAAATGAAATATGTTATTGACATACTTTAATAACAAGATAAACATCCTGTGGACCAGAAACACAGCCAAGTGCAGAAATAGGTAGAGTGTGCTGGGACTCAATTTTTTTAGGGTATTACTTCCCAAAGAATATGCTGTAAATGAGTTTACCAGTATGTGAGACACTAATTTTCCTCAGGCTTCAGGGTAACTAGGCAGAGCCTGAAGGTGCACAGAGCCTCCAGCTATCATTTCTGGGTAGTGAACAGTCTGATCCCCCTACCTATGTGCTATACACATACTGTTATTTTCTAGGTATACCATGATATCAAAAAAGAGTGGGAAACACTGCTTGAGGGTGGAGACCAAAGGACTTCATGCCTAGATAAGGACCAGAGGAATTCTCACTGCTGGAAACTGGGAGCTAGGGTAGGATTGTCCTGCCTGTGAAAAGAAATTGAACAAAGCTTCCTGGGTTTGTGGCTCACTTAAAGTTGTGTTTCTGGGGTTGCGGGGGAATAGAGATAGCTGTGTGACCAGGACCTGACCATGCTGTGACTGGGTTTATGATATCCCAGGTGTCCCAGTGTTACCAAAGGATCGGAACCCTGAACTACCAGCATAAGACCTGGTTCTAGACTGGAGGCCTCTGCACCAACAAGGATGGAAGACAGTGGCAATATCTATAAAAGCGTTAGACAGGGAGGGGTGAGAGAGGAAGAGAGCGAGACAGAAAACAAGAGAAAGCCGTCCTATTCAAGAAAAGCTAGGAAATTAAAGTTCCAAAGCAAACCAGTATAACTGGTACTAAGAAAGAAAGACAGTAATCTGGAGAAGTCACACTTAACAAAATATAAAAAAGTGACCTGAAAATTAATTTCAAATAAATATATTTAACTTCATCAAAGTGATGAAAGAATACCATCCATGGTAAACTTCTAGGAAATTGTAAAACAAAACCAAGCAGGTAAGAATCCAAGAGGTAGGTTTAGGCCTTTTTCTTGCCTTTTGAGAAGGCCTGCACTTCATCTGTGGAGTGTGTACCTACTTTTACTTTAAACTAAACACCCACCCCCATGCCTCATGGCCTCTCTGGCCTTCTAAGATGGCCAGCACTCTGTCTATAGAGTATGTATCTCTCTGAACAACAACAACAACAAGAAGAGGTGGATTTAGAAGACCAATTAAAAGTACTGGAAATATAAAATGCAGTTATGAAAGCTAAAAAAAAAAGAGTATATGAGATCAGCTCTAGACAGGGCACAGTTAAAGAGGAAATGAATTGAAAGATAGGACTAATGAATTCACCCCAGGATGTAACACAAAGATATAAAGAGATACAATGAATGAAAGATGAGAAAGGTAAGAAACATGGGGGAAAGTTAGAAAGCCTCTCATGTGTGAAGCAAAGAATAGAGAGAATAGCAAAGAAACAATATTTGAAGAGATGATGCTGGAGGATTTCCCAGAATTGAACACAGATAAGAATGAGTCTTTATATTAAAAGCACATACAAATTAAATAGAAGAATGATAGTTTTTTCAGCGAATGAGTGCTGGAACAATTGGACATCCATAAGCCAAAAAAATCAGCTGCAGCTTAAACCACATCCCTTGTATAAAATTAACTCAAAATGAATTGCAGCTTAAATGTAAAATGTAAAACTATACAACTTTTAGAAGAAAACAAAGGAAAAAAATCTTTGGGGCTGAGGGCTAGATGAAGAGTTCTTATACGTGACACTAAAAGCATAATCCATAATAGAAAAAAAAATAAATTGGACTTAATCAAAATTAAAAATTTTTGTTCTACAAAAGAACCTTACTTCCTTCCCAGTCCAAAAGCTGCCAGGCAGCCATTCTGCCTTTTCTGTTACCATGGGTCAGAGTCTTCTGTTCCATCTGGCAAAGCGAGGTGGTCAGGAGGGTGGCAGTGAGTGAACTGGTAGAATTTAAGGCAAAAACAAAACCAATAGGGATTTTCTGGTAAAGTACATAATGAAAAAAGGAATGGCCCACCAAGATAATATAATAGTTCTGAATGTGAATGCATCTAGCAACATAGTCTCAAAATATTTTAAGGGAATTATAAACATACATCCTTGACTGATCCACAGTCAAAACAGGAAATTTCAGTACAGGAAACTGATAAAGTAAACCAAAAATTAGAAAGGCTAAGGAAGATTCAAATATTTAATTAGCAATACCGAACCCCCCCCAATAGGATTTGTCTTGTAATAGTTTGTAAACCTCTGAAATTGAGTATATCTTATGAAGATCTATATTCCTGAGTATACCTAACATGTTGACATTTTAAAATAGTTGCTCTGTAAATGTGTTTTGAGTTACAAAATTACATTGACTCTAAATAAGCCATGGTCTTCTGAAATTTTTTGTAATTCTTATGTGACAGTGGATTTCTCAGTTCTGTTTGCTATAAGGCAGTCTGTAAAGTCAATCCCTGTAACCTCATCAGGAAATGAAGTGCAAGGGTTTTTGTGTTTAGTTTTTCTCTAGCTTGTTTGTACCTAAGCATTGAAATAGATCCTTGTTTGATCTTTTGCGGTGGGTTGGCCCTTTGGAAGAGCTCCTCATTCACAGGGGGCTGAATTGCTAGATGAACAGGAGAGCTTTCCTTCAATTTCAAGAAAATCACTTATTTATGAATGTTGCTCTCCTGTCAAGAAAAAACTATTTATTTAAGAATATTGTACTCCTGTCTCTGTGCCTTAAAAACTGTCTATGGAGGTGGGCTTTGGCCCCAGGGAAGGAGTGGAGAATTTGGCTCGACTCTTGGCCTTTTTTACTATAATAGCTGTTAATTCTTGAGCAAGATTGGGATGTGGTATTTAAGATAATTTCCTGCTTATTTTGATGCACTGATTTTAGAGGACTATTCAGAAGAAACTAACTGAAATCATTTCAATCTCTAGGTAGTTGAATATTTAAATTTAGACTTTGTTATATAGATTCATCTTTTTTGAATGTTGATCAGGAAATGGGGCCTATAAAATTTCTGCTTAGAGATTTATATTTGGAGG